CCTGCAACTAATAAGCACACGTGCCACAACTAGTGAAGCTAGCACACCGTGGAGCCCGTGCTCCACAACAGGACAAGCCACGGCAATGAGAAGCCCGTGCACCAGAAGTAGAGAGTAGCCCCGGGTTACCACAGCTAAAGAAAAGAGCACATAGCAACGAAGACCCCGCACAGCCAAACATAAATAAATAAAATTATTAAAAAAAAAATTCAGTCACTTGTCCTGAAATGGATTGAATAGATGATAACATTAAAATAGGTCTCTCTACTCTACAGGAAAGAAAAACAAGATTCTTAAATATTTGACAAGGAGAAATGGAACAACAACAAAAAAATAAAGCAAGTCATACATTGCTACTGCTGCTACTGCTAAGTCACTTCAGTCGTGTCCGACTCTGTGCGACCCCATAGACGGCAGCCTACCAGGCTTCGCTGTCCCTGGGATTCTCCAGGCAAGAACACTGGAGTGGGTTGCCATTTCCTTCTCCAATGCATGCATTAAGTAATGTTAAAAATCTCGCTATTACTTTAAAGATGTTTTACTACTGGGAGTTCCCAGGCAGCCCAGTGGTTAGGACTAGTGCATGTATGTAGTGAGAATACTTCAGGGCTACTCACCAAGCAACTTTGAAGTATATAATACAGTACTGCTCACTACAGTCACATGTTGTACTTTAGAGCCCCAGAATTGACTCATCTTATAACTGGAAACTCGCCAGGCTGGTAGGTACTCAATAGCCCCTGGAGAAGAGTGGAGAAATAACTCCAGGAAGAATGAAGAGGCAAATTACCACACAATTGCACTCATGTCACATGCTAGCAAAGTAATGCTCAAAATTCTCCAAGCTAGGCTTCAACAGTACGTGAACTCAGAACTTCCGGATGTTCAAGCTGGATTTAGAAAAGGCAGATCAAATTGTCAACATTCGTTGGATCGTAGGAAAAGCATGAGAATTCCAGAAAAACATCTACTTCTGCTTCATTGACTACACTGAAGTCTTTGTATGGATCACAACAAACTGTGGAAAATTCTTACAGATGGGAATATCCTACCACCTCCTTGTATCTTGAGAAATCTGTATGCAGGTGAAGAAGCAACAGTTAGACCTGGACATGGAAAATGGACTGGTTCCAAACTGGGAAAGGAGTACGTCAAGGCTATATATTATCATGTTGCTTATTTAACTTATATGCAGAGTACATCATGTGAAATGCTGGATTAGATGAACCATAAGCTGGAATCACGATTCCCGGGAAAAATATCAATAACATCAGATAGGCAGATGACACCACCCTTATGGCAGAAAGCAAAGAGGAACTAAAGAGCCTCTAGATGAAAGTGAAAGAGGAGTGAAAAAGCTGGCTTAAAACTCAACATTCAAAAACTAAGATCATGGCATCTAGTTCCATCACTTCATGGCAAGTAGATGGGGAAACAATGGAAACAGTGAGACACTTTTTATTTCTTTGGGCTCCCAAGTCACTGCAGATGGTGACTGCAGCCATGAAATTAAAAGACGCTTGCTCCTTGGAAGAAAAGGTATGACCAACCTTGATAGCATATTAAAAAGCAGAGATATTACTTTACTGACAAAGATCCATATAGTCAAAGCCATGGATTTTCCAGTAGTCATGTATGGATGTGATATTTGGACCATAAAGAAAGCTGAGCACTGAAGAATTGATGCTTTTGAATTGTGGTGATGGAGAAGACTCTTGAGAGTCCCTTGGACAGCAAGGAGATCAAATCAGTTAATCCTAAAGGAAATCAGTCCTGAATATTCATTGGAAGAACTGATGCTGAAGCTGAAACTCCAATACTTTGGCCAACTGATGGGAAGAACTTACTCACTGAAAAAGACCCTGATACTGGGAAAGATAGAAGGCAGGAGAAGGGGATGACAGAGGATAAGATGGTTAGGTAGCATCACTGACTCAATGGACATGAATTTGAGCAAACTCCAGGAGATGGTGACGGACAGAGAAGCCTGGTGTGCTGCAGTCCATGTGGTTGAAAAGAGTTGGATATGACTGAGCAACTGAACTGAACTGTACCCTTTGACTGACACTTCCCCTTTCCTAGTTTGCTACATTTAATGTGTTAGTTTTATTTTATTTGGGTGCTAACTTTTTCTCTAATTTTATATTGAAGTGAAAAACAGAAGAATAATGAAATTACAGGGTTTCTGGTTGCTCATATCTTAGTGACTAAACAACAATGAAATCACTACACAGACAAAAGACAAAAGTTCTATTTTAAAAACTTAACAATTCAGTATAAAGTAATTCCATACATGGAACTATACAAGAATACATATAAAGAAATTGTATTTTAACAATACAATAAAAAAGAAAATACAAAACACAAGAAATTGGATTGTAAAGAAAACCATGAATAATTTCACAGTTTAATTTTTGTGACTATTTTTGCCTATTAAGCAAAAGGCTATATTTCCAAATAATAAGGCATTAAATGAAAAGCTCAGGTGTTATTCTTGATGGTATCATTCTTGATGGCCTGGAATAAAACCAGATAGCCATAAATTGATAGTACTGTACTAAAGTGGGATAAATAAACATTAAAATAGAATTCAGAAAAATAAGAAAAGATTAGAGAAATACTGAAGATCAGAAAGATGTCTAAGGTTAGATGGGTGGCTCAGACAGTAAAGAATCTGCCTGCAACGCAGGAGATGCAAGAGACCTAGGTTCAATCCTTGGTTTGGGATGATCCTCTGGAAGAGGAAATGCAACCCACTCCAGTATTCTTGCCTGGAGAACTCCATGGACAGAGGAGCCAGGTGGGCTACAGTTCATGGGGTAGCAAAGAGTGGGACATGACTGAGCAACTAACACTCTCACTTTAAGATTAGATATGGAAAAGGAAATGGCAACCCACTCCAGTATCCTTGCCTGGGAAATCCCATGGATAGAAGAGCCTAGTGGGGTGAAAAGAGTTGGATATGACTTAGGGACTAAACAACAACAAACAAGATTAGATAAGAAAAGGATTAGACAAGATCAGATAGACTGACAGTACTGTATAAAGGTTGAATAATTAAACATTAAACTAGAATTCAGAAAAGTGAGATGAGATAAATACCAAAAGGAGTAGAAATAAAACCTATCACAGCAAGAAAGAGGAAAAAAATATGAAGAGAAAAGCAAGTAAGATCATGTTTGGGACTTCCTTGATGGTCCAGTGGTTAAGAATCCTCCTTGCAACGCAATGGGTATGGATGGGTTAGAACCCTGGTAGGGGAACTAAGATCCCACATGCCACAGAGCAACTAAGTCCGCGCCTTCTGGAGCTTGTCACAGGACACAACTGGATTCTGGAGCTTGTCACAGGACACAACTGGATTCTGGAGCTTGTCACAGGACACAATTGGATTCTGGAGCTTGTCACAGGACACAACTGGAGTTGCGGGGTGGCAATGAAAGATCCCACAAAACCAAAGAAGATCCCACGTGCCATAATTAAGACCCAACACACACACACACACACACACACACACACACGAAAAGATCATGTTCTCATGGCATCTACTAGAGGCATAAACAGTGGGACTGAACTTCATGGAGCATAGAGAAGAAAAAAATCTCCAGACAACGAGAAAGTCTCCTAAATAAGGACAAGGTGTAAAAAGTAAAGGCAATTCACCCAATGGAAAGGATAGGAGACTGAAACACTGCCCACTCCCCCTTGACAGGATTGTCCAGAAAGTCTATATATGGTATTTGATTCTAATTCTATTGTTTTTTAATAATCCTTTTTACATTTCTAGTATGTACATTTTCATTTTTTCTCTCAATATCAGCATTTCAATACCTATGTAAGAAGCTGAAGATTTCTTTTTATAAATACACAGATCTACAATGATGTTCAAATTCCTAGAAGTGTTAGTCGTTCAGTCGTGCCCAACTCTTTGCGACCCGTGGACTGCAGCCCACCAAGCTCCTCTGTCCATGGGATTTTCCAGGCAAGGATACTGGAGTGGGTTGCCATTTCTTTCTCTAAGGGATCTTCCCGACCCAGGAATCGAACCCAGGTCTCCCGCACTGCAGGCAGATTCTTTACCCACTGAGCTATATAAGGGAAGCCCCTCAAATTTCTAAGCCGCTCTGAACTAAGTTTAATATGAACTTCAATGTGGGTCTGTCATCACAGAGCGGAAGGGAATGGTTCAGAGGCCACAACAACCATTCAAATTCACTTTGACATAGAACTCAACAAGAAGACAGTCCTGTAACGCTGCAATATTAATAAATACCAATAATGTAATAATATATCAATAATCAGTATAATTTTTATATTAACTAGTAATTAATGCCATCCTAAAGTTGTTGAATTAAACAGGATGATGCACTCTAGCTTGGCTACAATAAATACTCTTTTTCAGGAAACGATCAATAATTGCTATTATTGACAGTTTCTAATACCCGTATCTTTGACTTATGGAAAGCTCAAAAGAGGGAAAAGAAAAGAGAGCTAGTATTAAATACTTCCTCCATACTAGGTATTTCAGTAATACTTAAAACCTCTCACGAAGTGCACCCCCCGCCCCGCCCCGCCTCCTCCCAGAGCCGCGCACACCTTTGGTTTCGCGCCAGGACCGGAGACGACTTCTGCGCTATACCGGCCACAGCTGCCGCGCCGTCGTCCGGTTTGCGCGCTCCTCCCCTCGCCTTCCCACCGACCCAGACTACACGAAAGACCTACTTTGCAGCCCGCGGGGCCTAATGGTGCGCGAGTGCCGCCGCCGCCGCCGGGGGCGCTGGTAAACCCAGCGGCGACGGTGTCGCAAAAGCGTCGCGAAGGCTTCCGTCCTTGGCGATCCGAGGCCACCTGTATAAGACAGCGTGTTGGGGTTTGAGAACCAGTAATGGAGGCCGTCGAGCTTCGCCAATGTTGCGGGGAGTTGATGAGGAAGCGGTTCGCCAGTGCCCTGGATTGCTGAGCTCTCGCCGACTGCGTCTCCCTCTAGCGCCAGCAGGATCATGCTGGCTTCGCGGATGGCGCGCGCCTCTTGGGGGGCCCTGCGCGTCGCCGCGTGGGCACCGGGAGCGCGGCCGGGAAAGGGGCGCGCCCGCGGGGCTCTGCTCCCGCCCGCGCCCGGCTGCCTAGGTTTCCTGGCTGAGCGCTGGTGGCTGCGCCCGGCCGCGCTCGGCTTGCGGCTGCTTGGGGCTAACCCGCGAGCCCACTGTTCGGGCGTGGAGAAGGCAGCCCCCGGGCCCGCGACCGGCGAGGACGCTGCTGTTGAGGCCCGACGCGGCCAGTGGGGCCCGACGAGCGCCTCCAACCTGGTACGTATCGGGGAGGAGGCGGAAGGGCGACGGCTGCGGCGGGCTCGGTCCCGGACACGAATAACGTGCCCTGGCTGGTCAGGTCCGATGCTTCCATTTCAGAGCTTTTAAACCGCTCCCTGAAGAGAAGTTACGGGTAGGTCATTCGGTCGGGACGAATGTCAGCGTTACCAGCCTGATCCTCTTTGCGTTTCGGTGGTCAAGTTAGAACCCTCTCCTCCCCCCTCTATCCTCACCTGTAGTAGGATATTGCATTGGTAAAAATAGCCATCACTTATCTTTTTAAAAGCCCATTTTCAATTTTATGAAGCGAATCTCCAGTGTTTAGGGCAAGTCTGTGAGCGTCTTCAGAAATATATACAGGCCTTTCTGTTTGCTTGTGCAGGTTTGGTTAACTACCATTTGACCTTTGGTAACTTTTTACACATTGTATAGGATGAAGGGTAACTAATTTAGATCGTAATTAAAAGATCTTTTAACCTCTAATTATAGAAAAAGATTAAGACTTTCTGAGGTAACGGAGGAAAATGTTTGTCCGCTTACCTGTTGAAATACTGACCAAACAGAAGAAATCAGAGCATGAGTGTGGGAGAGCTTTTGATGTCATGTAGCAAGACTCATGCAATTATTACATCTTCAATTGTTATGTCTTCAGTGGGGCCCTGTGCCGCTTTCATCAGTTGTACAGCATGGGTTGGTTTGGCCACATCCTGGCAGGGGTCTCAGCTCCATTAATAGCTAAAGCATGTTGGGGTTTGAATGCTGGATGCTTTGAAGTTGCCATATCCTGGCTGAAGTCCTTCCCAGAACGGCAGTAGTTGGTCGAGTATGCCACAGGTTATCTGGTTGGGTAATCTGAGATTAGCTCTCTTAATTTTAGTTTAGAAACGTTTACAAATTTAATAATTAGAGATTAATGAGGTATTTTAACTGAAATATTTTGTGTAGAGCTCAAAAGAATCCTTTTCATTGTTCTGGGAACGTTCAGTCTGGTTTATTAATTCACCAAATGAAATGATGTGGTTGTTTGCAGCTGTGTCTTTAATTTTGTCCCACGGGCATCTGTTATGAATTTTGGCCCTCTGTATTCTGACCTTTTGCTTTGCGTTTCCCTTTCTGCAATCATGAACTGTACTCTCCCCTTCCCGCCTCAGTGAGTTGCTGTTATACTGGATCAATGTTTGATTTCTCTGTGCTGCAGTATGGTCAACAGACTTATCTTTTTTTTTCTGGACTCTGAACACTTGTACCTTTGAACTTGAGTTTGGAGTGTTCCAAGAATGAGTCCATTTAATTAATATTGTGGTTTACCTTCATAAAAGGTAGAGGTTTGTAGTGCTGATTGTTTCCCAGAAAATTTGAATTTTTCTGTAGCTTTAGTGACAGTATTCTGCTCCCTGACCCCCAAAACCCCATTATCCTTCCAGGCTGAGGTGAACATTTCTTGCCTGGTTCTGTTTATAAACACAAGCTTAGTATCTTAGAGAACTGCCTTTTCTTACAGAATGGTTCAAGATATTTTAAAAGAGGTCTTTAGAAATGAATGCTGTTACTTTTCTAAAAGATTAAGATTCAGACAAATTGGTTACTGATTGAGAAAGAGGTTAAATAGGGTTATCTTGTGAGGAGATAGTCCCATGAGGTAGAACTGGCAGTCTTGACTCAGTGGAGAAACTAGCCTTTAGGAAATGACATTTTCTCTGTATTATTTCTGTACCCAGTTTTGTGCAATGTGTCTTAGTTCTTTAAAGTTGAAATACCCTCTCGTGAAACAGATTTTGTTTTGGCAAGGAAGGAATGTTCTTCAGAGCAGCTGCCACGGTGCCCTTTTGTTGGTGCCAACTTCAGACACCTTGCCTCCCAATGAAGTTTAAAGGAATCATAAAGTTCCCATAGGGAAGCTGTGAAAGCCTTCAGCTTCTGGTTGGGGATCTTAACATTGCTGTAGCTATTTTGAACAGATTTCCCAAGGATTTAAATCACTATTCCTTGTTCCATTTTCTTCCAGCAGTTCTCCAGTTTAGTGATGACGTTATGGAGTTAGGTGTTTTTAATCCCTCTTCATTCGTATCTGCAAACGCTGTGTATGGCATTTAGCATTTTTTTGATGGGTATGTATAGAAGAGTGAGGAGAGGTTATTTGCAATAAATGTTTTTTAGCCAGAATGCCCATGGTTGATAGTTTGGCTTTTTTTCTGACACTTTCTAGACTGTTTGTCTACTTGAAGTATAAGATTTTCCTGAAGTTTCACTTCTAAACATTTTTTATTTTGTATAAAGGGAAAGTAATTCTTTTAAAAATTTTTTTATTGAATATAGTTGGTTTGCAATGTTGAAGTTTCATTTTTAAAAGCAGTATGTTTTTAGTTTTGAATTCTAATTGTGAAGTCATGTATTACAGTCTTGACTTATATGGTAATACATATTTATTTCTTCTCTCTAATGAGAAAATCTATATATAGTCAGTACTTTAGTCTGTGTTTGGGTACATGACATACCTATAAGTTGATGGAGTGTGTTTTCCAGCGTATATAGTTATTTAAAGTATGAATTTATAGTATTTAATTTAAATTTTGTTGTCTTTATGTTTCAGTATGAAAACCCATGGACAATCCCAAATATGTTGTCAATGACGAGGATTGGCTTGGCCCCAGTTTTGGGCTATTTGATTATCGAAGAAGATTTTAATATTGCATTAGGAGTTTTTGCTTTAGCTGGGCTAACTGACTTGGTAAGTTGTAAAGGCACTCCCCTTGTTCTGTTCCCTTTCTAAATCCCAGTCTCCACTACACTGAAATAATGCAGCTTCAGTTTGCTTTTCCTTGGAAGAAAATCGTCAAAGATGCATTTCACCTAGTACTTTTATAAAGGCTTGTCATTAGCATCTATGTGGGACTCTATTATTCTTTGTATTATCTAAGGAAGGAAGTAGAGGTTGTAGGAAGGCATTGGAGAACTTCTTCATGAAAGAAAAAAGCCTTAGATATTCTCAAAGGGCCAACTACTTGCTTTAAGGATAGAAATAAAGGAGAGAAGCTGAGACCGGTTTTTTCCTGCTTATGTAGTAGAGAGAGATATCTGATCTGCAACAACAGTTGGTTTTACTGATGGAGAAGGAAGTAGTGGGCCAGTTGTTGTGACCAGGAGCTTGTAGAGGCCAGATCTCTGCTCAGGTTTATGCTGGCAGGAGGCCATAGGCACCCTACACGTTTGCTCCTTGATTCCTGCTCCATACCCCTCTGACCATCTTCCAAAAGACCTTGCCCTAGGTGGGCATTAGGCATCCTTCCTTCCACTCTCCCAGCAGATGGACAGAGGAGAAGAGAATACCTTGACACCACTATCCCAGTTTAGAGGGAGGGAAAGATTAATTCAGGTTATTTCAAATTTGAACTTGGGAAATAATTTTAATAACAGAAAGCTGCACTATGTGTTTTATAGGCTTTTGTGGACTGGCCAGTCATTGGCATGTATGATGTTCTTTGTATCTGTCACCCACCTTGTTGCATAAAGAATTGAAATAGCTTATAAAACTATATGTCCTTTAAAAACAAAATTGAAGGAAATGGGGAAATGGTAGAGGAAAAATTTTAAATCAGGACAAAAGCATGTAGAAACAGATATTGTGTGTATGTATTATGTATTCTTGTACAAGGCTGGTCTGAGATCCAAGTAAGCACCCAGACAAGCAATAGTAATTTGGTGCCTCTTTAAACTGATGTATGTTTGAAGAGTTATGCTCAGTATTTAGCGAGAATAAAGAGAAACTTATTTTCTGTTAATGCAGTTTATATAACATCTTCCTTTGTAACATCAGCTATTCCCTTTGAGATTCATAGAAACAAAATTGCACCTGCCCAGCACCACTGTTGAGCAGTGTAGAATTAGCTGAAGGTTTTGCAGGGTAAACAAAGGAGGGTGTTTGCATTGTTATATGACGTTTCCAAATGTGCATCAAATACAGTCTCTCAAAGTGGCTACCTCCTCTCTTTTTCCAGAATTTAGCTCCTATTTGTCACAATTTCTCCCCATTCACACAACCCCTTTGTTTGTCCCTACTTTTATCTCTGAAGTGTGAAGGCCTCTACTTATGAAATGGTCTGCAGGTCTGTCAAAGACCATTACACTGATAATGGAATTTTTTTTTTTTTGGTAATAGACAAGATCTTTTTCGGTTACCATATTTGCTATTTTTTTTAGTTTGTAGGTTTTCTTTAGTTGCCACATGAGATTGAGATGTTCATTAAGTGGAAGAGGCCTCATTTACACTTTTCTAAATATAGAAGACAATGTGTGTGGAAATCTAAGTTAACTGGCATGGTTTTACACTTATACTCCATGGAGGTTTTGATGCCTCTAGAATGGCCACTGAGCAGATGGCTAGACCCATGGAGGGTTTAAGCAGGGTAATGACAAAGCCTGATTTCTGTTGTGTATGGGAAGGGAATTACAGGAATGCAAGAGTAGAAACAGAGGCTGGTTAGAGGGCATATAATAATCTAGGGTAGTGGGTTGAGAGTATGTTTTGAAAATAGAATTGATAGATTAATGGATTGGATATGTGGGATGAAAGAAAGGAATTAAATATGAGTGCTAGGCAGTTTCTTTTTTCTTTTCAACAAGCAGATACATGGAGGTTTACATTTTCTGTGATGTTAACACTCAGAGTAGGACAGGGTTTGTGGGAAGAGCTGTTATGCCTGTTCAGATGGAGGTAACAGTTGGGTATTTGAATACAATAGTTTGAAGTTGGAGGAAGTCATGGTTAGAGACAGATTTAAGAGTTATTATGTAGATGGTCAAGTCTGGATGAAATCATCTAAGCTGTGGTAAAAGAAGAGAATGGGTCAGAGAAAAGAGCAGTAAGTGGAGCAGCGGAGAAGGAGCTGGTAAAGGACACTGAAAAGGAAAAACTGGTTAGAATGGAATAAAATTGAGCAGTAAGTTGTCTCGGATCTTAAGAAGGTGGTTCAGTTGTGTTGAGGATAGGTTGGTGACCTTTATGAGTACAATATCTAGAGGATGGGGTAGGCAGAGTGAGTTGGTGAGCATATGTGAGATAGTGATGGCAATAGATGTCACTTTGAGGAAGTTTTGCTTCACAGGGGAATAAAGTTAAGGAAGGGTAGTTTATAAAGAAATATGTACTGGGGAAATTTTTGTTGTTAGTTAACTAATTAATTAAATGGCTGAGTAGGAAGAGAGAGATTGATGATGCTTGGGATGTGGGGGAAACTCACAGAAGGTAAGAGGACCTGGGGTCAGGGATCAGGATAATAGAGATAAATGTGCCTGGATACTGGTGGGTGGTGGAATTCAGAGGTGAGAATATGAGGGAGTGCTGACAGCTTGCTTTTACCATTCGAGGAAATATAGACATGGTCATGAGCTAGAGAGAGGCTTTGGGAGGGATGGAGTCAGTCTGTGGCAAGAGCAGGCTGAAAAGAGAAGGTAAACATAGTAAGCAGGTGTAGGTTTACCAGGCAGTATTGAGTGCCCACAGGAGATTTGTGGTCATGTAAAAGTGAGACTGATCAGCTCATTTAGGTGTTTTCCAGTGTTCAGCTGTTTGGGTGTCGACTTAGAGTACATGACAGATGTATTTAAGTAGTATTGAGAGAGAGTGGAATAGGGAGTTACAGAGATTTACAAAGAAAAAGTGGTCTTGATGACCTTGGAATCCAGTGTGGGTAGAGGAGCAATGAGGGTGAGAAGATGACGGTGAAAAAATGGGAGGTTCAGATCAGAAACTGAATCTTCCGAGGCCCTAACTCCCAGTTCTAGGCACTTTCTGTTACTGTTACCTCTAGTATACTTAAGAAAATAGATTTTTTTTTCAGTTGAGGTAGTAATAGTTGATAACTGATGTTTTTGAGGATTTACTGAGTGCTAAATAGATTTTAATCATATTGTGTACTGAGACAACCTACCCTTTGAGGTAGTAGCATTATCTCTATTTTACAGGAAGGAAGGAAAGGAAAGGCCTAAGCCTCAGTTTCGGCTTAGGCCAAATGTTGTGCCCAGAGTTACACAGTTAAGTGAGTAGGAGAGCGAGTGCTTGAACCACCACTTACATTCTGCTGTGAAGACTTAAGTTCTTAACCATTATCCTGTATGACAACTATCTCTAAGTTATTGGAATATTTGAGATATGGAGGACTTACTTATCCTTTAAAATGTACCATGTTAAATTGTGTCTAAAGTAATTTGATCTTTTTCCTTGGAAATAGAACTAGAAAATTCAAACATTTGTTGAAACTTGAAGTTAAATAAAATGAATAAAAGCCAGGTAGGGACTTGGAAAATCAGAAAATATCTACATTGTTTAATGAAAATAGGCAGTACTTGGTTTCAGTCAATTTTCTTCCCATTCCTCGAGTGAGCTTCGAGATGTGGATTTTTTGAGGTAAGACTTTGAATATTTAAATATTGGCAACTAATTTATATTTTTAAAAACCTCTGGGCAGTTCAAACAAAACCAGCCTGCAGGCCCCTTGGCTCCCAAGAAACCAAGTATGACCTCTGCTTTAAAATATAATTTATTTCCAAGAGTAGTAAAAATCAAATTTTAAGTAGGCCAAATACAAAGGATTGAATATTTTATTCAGGTACAAGTCATGCAAATGTAGTCAGCCATGGAATTAACAGTGGCACTAGACAAAAAATATTGATGATAACAGTTAAAAATGGTAACAGCTAAAGCTTAGAGAATTGGATACTGTTATAGAAAAGTAGGTAGGAATGTGAGTTAGGAAATCTTGCAGTTAAAGAGTAGCCCTTGCAAGTAAAAGCAGCTATTTTGGATGTAGTGAAATAGCCCAGGATTTGAGAGTAGGGGGTGCCTGATCTATGCTCTGGCAGTCATGCTTCCTTTGAGTTTTATTTGGGTTCTTCACATCTCTAAATTTGTGTCTGGGTTCATCCCTCAAAGGGGCATTGTGGAAACATTGAGAAATAGCTGAAGGCCTTGAAAAAGAAAAGTAGTGTAGGAAAGTGAAATTATTTTCTGACCAATTGGTAATTTAAAAGTTAAATGTATACCAGTAAAACAGAAGGTTTGGAAGTAAGAAAAAGAAGAGGTTTTATCTACATTTTATGAAAGTATAGTTATTCTGGTACCTTTTAATCTTCAGGATATCTACTCTGTACCCATTGTGACATTTATTAAAAAAAACTTCTATTTTCAGTTGGATGGATTTATTGCTCGAAACTGGGCCAGTCAGAAATCAGCTTTGGGAAGTGCTCTTGATCCACTTGCTGATAAAATACTTATCAGTATCTTATATATTAGCTTGACCTATGCAGATCTTATTCCAGGTAAGAGTGCCATCATGTGTGCTTTTAAATAGTACAGGGAAGAGTGACATTAGTTAGCTTAGGATTTCTCTTGATTGAGAGACAAATAATTTTTGTTCCACAAATATGTTTTTCAACTTTAAAGTGTTTCCCTAATTTTTTTTTTGTTTCCCTAATTTTAAACTATTGAACTGTTTTGCTTGCTAAGCTGTTTGTTTTACTTTCAAATTTATGACTTTGTATATACTAATAGAATCTGTTTTCTTAGTAAAATTGTTTAAAATTGAGCACATATTTCACAGTGCTAACTCAGATTATCCTAGAATCTTTTGAAACTATTTTATTTTCTTAGTGCGTAGCTTTTTAAAAGCAATTTAAAGTTTCCTGAGTCGTCTTATTTACTAAGTACAATTTAATAAATGAGAGCTCTGAAGACCTAGAGATGTCTATAAAATTTCACTTTGTTATTATTACTTAGACACTATTATGCAATTTTGATTATCATGTAGTTTGTACATTGTCTGAATACTCTCTGTAACAAAATTTTATGATCTTTTGTATTTTGTACTGCTTTTTGAGTTGTTCGTTTTCTACTTTAGCTGTGTTTCTCAGTTTTTATCCTTTGTTGCAGATTATTTCTGAGTTAGAAATAGAATTGAAAACAAAGAAACTGCCACTTGCTCCTTCAGTACCATGCTGTTACTGATATTTGATAGGAAGAAGTGTAGTGGTGTTTCAGTCTAGTACATTCTTCTCAATCTAGAGATTCTTTTTCTCCTCTGTCTTTAGGCTTTTAAATCTGCATGGTCAAATTTAAAAATGAATTAAACTACTGTTTGTGTGCTTCTTTGAAAGTCATGATTATGGTGTGTATATGATTGGGGGTATTGAATGGGCAGAAGTATGCTATATGTAATATAGATAATTTGTAGGAAAAAAGATCCTAAGGAGCATTCTGTTAACATTCACAATTAAGATTATTGTGTGGTGTGTGCATTTTCATGCTTCCCTTGAAGCTTTTTCAGAGTTACTTTGTATTTTGTTGTATTGTTTTACACAAAGGTTAGCCAGGTATTTTCCTGTTGAACATAGAAATTGTTTCTAGGTTTTGGCATTATGGATAATGTTGATATAATTGGTGTAGGTTGCTTTTTAAGCTTTCATTATCACTCACTATCATTCTGGGCACTTCCGTTTTCTGTCTTGGGTCTGTTTTTCCCATGCCTTCCATGTGGGGTGCAATCTCCAGTTGTTTCCTGTGCTCGGATGCAGCATGGCAGCAAGTTTTTAGAGGTATACAGTGTCTATTCTACAGATGTCTACAATGTCTTTATTCTACCCTCCATACTTGATTGAGATTCAAAGGGGGCTTACTTTTCAGTTGCAGATTGTTTCCACTCAGAATTTTGAAGACCTTGTTCTATAGGTTTCCAGATTCCGTCTTGCTGTTGAGAAGTCTCATGCCATTCTGATACCTTTTCCTTTATATGTGATTATGTTTTGTATTAGAAAGCTTTTAAGATTTTTTTTTACAGTAGTCTAGTTGTTGGTTTAAAAAAATTCTCTCTCAGAGATTAATTTTCTAACTTCTTCTTTGGACACTCAATTATCCATCCCAGCACTTTTTATTAAAAAACCATGTGCATATATACATGAGTCCTTTTCTGGGTTGTCTAGTTTATTCCCCATTGATTTGTCTGTCTATGTATCAGGACTGTCACTAATTACTACTACTTTGCTAAAAGTCTTGATATATGATAGAACAAGTTCTTCTATCTTGATATTCTTACCTCTTGGCATTTGTAGGTAGATTTAAAATCAACTTTCAAGTTTCCCAGAAAAAAACTTGTTGGGATTTTATTGGGATACATTGAAGTTACAGATTTATTTGGAAGAATTGACATTTTTATAATATTTTCTTCCAGTCCACAAACCTGTTGTATATACTCTATTTAGGTTTGTTAAAATGTCAAAATGTTAGTTATTTCTAGAAAAGTAATAAATAATTATTAGATTTATTCCTAGGTAACTGATAATTCTTGATTCTTTTATAAATGAGGCTCTGTTAATATTTCATTTTGTCATAGCTGCTTATTGTTTATGAGATCCATTTCTAATGTTAATTTTTATGTCTAGCAAAACTTGCTGAACTCTTATTCTGATAATATAAATGTATATTCTCTTGGAGTTTCTGCATCCTCAATTATGTATTGTCTATAATTCATGACAGTGTGTTTCTTCATCAATACTTTTACCTTTTTATAATTTTGCCTCACTATAGTACACAGTGCAGTGTTGACTAAGAGTGGTGTTTGTGTCTTATTTTCAGTCTCAGAAGGAAAGATTTCAATATTTCAGTACTAAATATGACATTTCCTGTAGAGTTTCATAGCACCCCTTTGTAAGGGTTCACTTCTACAGGGAGTTTGCTCAGAAGTTTTTTTACATTGGATATTGAATTTTATGAAATTTCTTTTTCTTCATGTATTATGGTAGTTATATTTTTTCCCTTTAAGCTTAATGTATGGTAAATTACATTATTGATTTTCTAAACTAAATTAACCTGATGACATTCCTGTTATAAATCCAACTTAATCATGATATATTTTGAAGATATTGCTGTATGTGGTTTACTACTGATATTTTGTCAGTTCACATCTAGATTCACAAAATTGGCTTAAATTTCTTTTCTAAAAATGCCCTTGTTAGGTTTTAATATCAAGTTTTGTACTAATCTCATAAAATGAATTTTAGGGAGTGTACTTCCTCCCTGACCCCCAGTCTTGGGAGATGTTTGTGTGAGATTTCAGTTATTTCTTTGAATGTTGGTAGAACTTGTTGAAGCCATTGATTCCTGGAGTTTTCTTTGGGAAAACATTTTAAAATAATTGATTCACTTTTAAAAATATATATATGTTCACTTTTTTCTGGTTCATCTTTTGTCTGTTTTGTGAGTTATGATGTTTTTTCTAGGAACTTGAGTCATTTCAGCTACATTAAAAAAAATTACCATAAGCTATTTATAAGCTAAAGTTATCCATGTTTACTTTTTGATGTCTGTAGGGTATGTAGTGTCCCCCCTTTCATCCTAATTATTAGTTATTTGTCCTTTTTTCTTTGACTTGTCTTGCCAGTGGTTTGTCAGTTTTGTGAATCTTTACAAAGAACCAACTTTGAGCTTTATCAAACTTCTCTGATATGTTTACTGTTTCATTAAATCTTGTTCTTTTATTTCTGTGTCATCCTTTGGCTTTTCTCCGATGTTCTTCTCTAAATCCTTTAGATCAGTCCTGTCTCGTAGAGATATAATGGGAACCATAGATTTAATTTAAATTTTTTTAGCAGTCATATTCATAGTGAAGGGAAACAGGTGAACTCTGTGTGTGTGTGTGTGTGTGTGTGTGTGTGTGTGTGAGACATTGTTCTCCTGCTGCAGTGGAGACAGCATGTTCTGAGCATGCATTGCTGCCTGTGCTACCCCCTCCCCTTAATAACATTTTATTCAGTCCACTAGATCAAAAATAGCCACTTCTTTGTATAATCAATAAAAATCATTAATGAGATTTTTTTTCGATGCTCTGTCTTCAAAAGCCAGCATGCAGTTTGCATTTACAACATCTCAGTTCAGACTAGCCACATTTCAAGTGCTTTATCTTTACATGTAGCTGGTGGCTATTCTATTGAATAGTGCAGCTGTAGATGAATGTTTAACTCATTCCTTTTTTTGACCATGCTGTGTGGCTGGTGGGATCTTTGTTCCCTAATTAGGGATCGAACCTGTGCCCCCTAAGTAGAAGTGTGGAGTGCTAACCACTGGACTGCCAGGGAATTCTCTCAGCTTTACTTTTTTAATGTTTGCATTTAAGGCATTTTGCATTTTCCTTTTCACTGTTTCTCATATGTTGGTATCTGTGTTCTTATCATTATCTGAATTCAGAGTAATCTATTTCTATTATTATTTTTCTTTGGCCTATGGAGTTAATAAGAATTTATTTCTCAATTTGTGGGATTTTCTAACAATTTTTTTTGTTACTGATTTTGGGCATAATTACCTATACTCAAAGAACATGCTCTGTCCTTTTCCTGTGGGAGCCGCCGGGTTGAGAGGAGCGTGGCCTTCTCCTCTCCCCGCCATGGCGTGTGCTCGTCCACTGATATCAGTGTACTCCGAAAAGGGGGAGTCCTCTGGCAAAAATGTCACTTTGCCTGCTGTGTTCAAGGCTCCCATTCGACCCGATATTGTTAACTTTGTTCACACCAACTTGCGCAAAAACAACAGACAGCTCTATGCTGTCAGTGAATTAGCAGGTCATCAAACCAGTGCTGAGTCTTGGGGTACCGGCAGAGCTGTGGCTCGAATTCCCAGGGTTCGAGGTGGCGGCACTCACCGTTGTGGTCAGGGTGCTTTTGGAAATATGTGTCGTGGGGGCCGCATGTTTGCACCAACCAAGACCTGGCGACGTTGGCACCGCAGAGTGAATACAACACAGAAGCGATATGCTATCTGCTCTGCACTGGCTGCCTCAGCCTTACCAGCCCTGGTCATGTCTAAAGGTCATCGTATAGAGGAAGTTCCTGAACTTCCTTTGGTGGTTGAAGATAAAGTTGAAGGCTACAAGAAGACCAAGGAGGCTGTTTTGCTTCTGAAGAAACTTAAGGCCTGGAATGATATCAAAAAGGTTTACGCCTCTCAGCGAATGAGAGCTGGCAAAGGCAAAATGAGAAACCATCGCCGTATCCAGCGCAGGGGACCCTGCATCATCTATAATGAAGACAATGGTATCATCAAGGCCTTCAGAAACATCCCTGGAATTACTCTGCTTAATGTAAGCAAGCTGAACATTTTGAAACTTGCTCCTGGTGGTCATGTGGGACGTTTCTGCATTTGGACTGAAAGTGCTTTCCGAAAGTTAGATGAGCTGTACGGCACTTGGCGTAAAGCAGCCTCCCTCAAGAGTAACTACAACCTCCCCATGCACAAGATGCTCAATACAGACCTTAGCAGAATCTTGAAAAGCCCA